GCTTCATTTATTTACTTTTTCCTGTGTGGACAGTTTGGTCTAATGCTTCCAAGTGATTTTGGATCTCATTTAGAAGGTTCTGTAAGATCCTGGGGCTTAATGCAGTCAGCACAGCGTCATACAGTAACAGAGGCATCTGGAGGACCTGATTATCCTTTCACTTGAACTCTGTACTAAACATCTTCTGTGGCAGTGGCAAACACTTGCTTGGCAGATATTTATATTCCTCTTTCATATCTTACTTGATATTCATATTAAGGGGTTTCTCAAACTATACTGTCTCTATTGTTACATTTTTCAAGGAATCTTCTGAGATTGTAGCATATGCATAGGCCCTTGTCAAGGGTGTGGGAAGTATAAGAGTCTTTAGGACAGCTCTACAAAATTATTATGATTTTTGTCTTGTTTCTGTAAGTTTGTATCTTAGCTATGCATGAAGTAAAGTTTTTCTTAATCTTTTAAAAATTATTCTGTAGTTTGTTTCCTAAAGTTTTAGGAAATTCAGATATTTATAGTCCGATTTTTTCACTATGCCTTCAGTGATTTGATCTGCATTGATAGGATAACCATTCCTCATAGTAAGTTAATCTTTCTGCATTCATTTTGAGTTATCTACATCAAACTGCATAACCAAAGGAATGTTAAGTGCTTGTCAAGTTGGATTTAGATTTGGCATAGGGCTTCAAATTGTTCATGTACAACAAATAGCTGATAATATTCATCCTCATGTTTTCTGTTAAATTAATGAACACTGCTATTTAGTTGAATTGTTAAAGTCAGTCTTGAAGATAGTCAAATAGATTCAGTGAGTTTTCACTGAGGTTTAGTAAAATAAAACTGTTTTGGCATGTTATAAATTAGATAGCTCTTCAGACTCATATAGTATCTTTCCTTTCAATAGGATATCTATTTCCCTTGCCTTGCTTCAGAGTGAACCTTTACATTGTTCAAAATTCCCAGTAGCTCTGAACCTAAGAACACTATCTTGCCTATTCCATAGCCATTTTTATAAAGTAAGTGGTCAAATCCAGCAATCCTCCCCGTTTTCTCATGCCTTCCAACTGATTAGGTAATGTGAACGTTGAAAGAAACAGTATATGAATGTAAGAGTTCCTTTCTTTCTCTTTTATTTCCTTCAGCTTGGCCAATTATCCCTGACTTCTCTTGTCTTTTAAGCATACTTCATCTCAGTACCTCCTCCCAGAGGATATTTTCCTTAGCACATATGGAAATAAGCCAGTGATTAGACTATTCTGTGGACAATGCAAGCTGTAATTCACTATGATTCCAGTCTGGTCTACAATCCTTCACTGAAAAGTCAAGTTTCTTATTTTTATTCCCTTTGAAAAAAAACATTATTTCCAATTGCTAATAAATTCTCAATCCAAATAGTCTGACTTCTTCAGCCTTAGCTTTTAAGTTCATATTTAAAAGTGGCTATAGGCCTTCTTCCTTTGACTTCATCAGCTTTTAAAAATTTTGTATCCATTGAGTCAGAAAGTAATGAGTCATAAAAATCCATGCTGGCTAGGTTTTCTCTCTGCAAGCTAATAGCAGATGGAAGTAGAGAAAGTTAGGCTTAACCATTCACTAGCATTAGCAGGTGGCCAAACACAGCTGTGTCTGTGATGCCACCATCACAATCACTGCTTCCTCAAAGGAAGCATAAATTAACTAGAGATAAGCTATTTTACTTAGTTGTTTCTCTTCAAAAAAGCAGGTGCAGTCATAATATAGTACTTAGACAACATAGCAGGAAAAAACTCTAACTGGAGAGAAAAAAATTAGGCTGAGGGGAATTGGAAAGGAAGGAAATAAAAATGTGTTTACAGCAAAGAAAATACTAACTAGGTTTGTGAATTATATTGACAGTTGATTTTATAGCCAAAAAACAAAACAAAACAAAAATCTTAGAGTTGGGCTGTAAGAATGAAAATGAGAGAATGGTGATTTTAACTTGTAAGTCTAAGAGGTTCCTGAGGGCAGTGTCACAAGTAGTGAATTGTTTATGACCTAGCAGGTGGATAGAACAACTGAGGTCATTGAGTTACAGAGCCATAGTGAACTCTCAGGCTTACTTCATTGCAATAAGTTTTGTGGGACTTTTAAAAATGTATGTATCTCTCTATCTTGGTATTTATAAGCTGCTTATCTCTTTAGCTATTCATTGCTAAAGTATTGTGGCACATAAACAATTGGCACAAAGTTCCTTGAAGATCTTGTTTCCAATATAAGTTCCACATCTTGATAATAACCTTGCCTTCTTCTAAGGCTTTCCTGGGGATCAGTCACCTCTCTGGCACTTAGCATCCCAGCAGACCTAAACAATGTCAACTGGTGCCACTGGCAAGCCTGAAGCATAGGTGTGGGAGTAGGAAGAGGGAGGAAGAAGGAAGGAAGTAGAGAGAAAGAAATGTAGAGAGAAGGAAATGGTAGAGTGCCACCAGCAGTCTCCTCATTTGCCAAAGTGGTTTCCTTACTTCCCACTCCTGGGAAATAAAATGAAGTTGTTTTTGACATGATTTATGTTTTGAAGGAGAATCCTCAGAAGAAGGTCCTCAGCTAAGTGTAAGGCTCAGGGAACTGAATTGGTTTAGACATTGAAAGTTGGGGGAGACTTCAGAGAATCAACTAGCCTCCTTCTTTCATTTTACATAGAAGTAACAGAACCATTTACCTAACCAAGGATGAAGAGGTGACAGGACCAGTAGAGGGCAACACATAAAAGATCTGGAGTGCTAAAACTGGCAAAGGAGCTATTACACCAAGGATAGTAGCCTGTTTCCTCACTAATGATACTTAATGGAAAGAAAAATGAGGGAGTATGCACGTCCCAACTCTGCTTATTTTGCTCTTACAGTTTAACCTTCTTCAGTGGGAAGAACTAGGTGCAGGTGATGGAAGTTTCAGTAAAGCAGGTTTAGACTTTATGTAACAAAAATTTTCCTAACCATTAGCATTATACCAAAGTACAAGTTGCTTTGGCAAGGATTCCCCGGTTCTAGAGGTCTTTAAGCAAAAGCTGGATGAACACTTGTGAATTATGTTGCAGAGGGCATTCCTGTTTAGGCACCATTTTGGGTTTTCTTTGAGGTCCCTACCAACTTTGAGATTCTGTAATTAAGTTACTCATTCTCAACTTGAGAGAGACAGAACATGGTGGGCAGGTTCACAGGAGGCTAGGGGGGAAGAGGCAGGCTGGGTTCCCTCTCTACAGTCAGCGGAGAGAGGAGTTTTACTTTCTATATACTTGACATTTTTATTCTTAGGGTATTGTCATGATCGCTAAGAGACATGATGGTTTAGGTTTTTCCTCAAGACTTATTCTTTTATCAAGATGTTGCCACAGTCATGAACTGGCCCACAGTCATTTATGCTTTAAAAGTAAATCAGCCTTATGAGTTAGAGAATATATGGAGGTAGAGGGTAGATGGAGATTGGGAAAAGTAGTGGTGACAAAGGATATTGAAGAAGTTTCTCAGTTGAAATTTTGTAGTAGATAAGGGAAGAAAGAAAGTTGCTAATTTTTTTTTTCTGAAACAATTTGAACAGCATTCCTGAAAAAGGCCACAAAGAATTTCTGAGTTTTTATACCATCTTCTATTATATATCTTTTGTTGTGTGTTAAAATTGTAGTGGCTTTTATATTTCTATTCATAATCTGCCTGCAAAACAAAAATAGCTATTTAGTATGGTAACCTATAGAATATCTTGATAGACTATTTTTAAAGTAAGACTTTCTATTTGACACAAACTTGAATGTTCAGGAGTTCATTATTATGGCGCCTGCTAGAGCCATTGGACTTCAAGGTCTGTGAGCAGTTTTGTCATAAACCTGGACTTCCAGCAGTTTATGGCTTCCAGTAAAATGTTTTGCTTTAGGCGAAAATCTTACGTAAAAGGACTCTGAACAGAAATAATTGTTCCTTTATTTACATGTTTTCAGAAGAAAAAAAATAGGTTATTTCTTAATGATGCTTTCTTAGCATTAAAAATTAAATGGGTGAGTTAATGTTTCATGGTGCCTACTGTGAGTAGTGATTTTTGAATATAGTGTCTGTTTTTTTTTAATGAATACAGACACACACATACATACTTTTAATTGACATAATCAATATGAACTATTTATTCTTGACACCATTAGCTGAATGAACGTTCTGCCTATTGACTCCCAAATACACCTATGTGAAAAAGACTGATTTTAATTATAATTTTCTATCCCACCTGGAGTTTCGTTTCTAGAGGGAAAGTGCAATTTTTATACCTATTTATATGATAGTTATTTGCTCATTCTTCAGTGTAATAGTAAAAATACTCACATTTTCCGTGATTCACCCAGCCCTATCCCCACTGGAGCTCATGGGTAGAAGTATAGAATTGATCAATCAATAGATAAGCACACAGGAGCCAATAACATATTGAGGCATATTCTCTGTGTGTGAGAAGCTTGACAACCTTTCTCTTGGTGTCTAGTGCAGTTCTGATGTGACTTAAGAGTATTCTTGATCCAAGGTCACTTTCCAAAGCAGAAGGTAACCAGGGTTTATTTACCTCATAGGGTTGTTGTGAGGAAACAGTTTTATGAACTTTAAAATACTAGATAAATGGGAGTTATTTGATCCATAAGTGTAAGCTTAATGGGTAAAATGTGAGAGACAACATGGTGTAGTGGATAGAGAGCTGCCCTACAAACCAGTAGGTGTGAGTTCAAGTCTACCTATGGCATATGCTGGTGGTGTGACTCTGGGGAAGTTACTTTTAATGCTCTGGTAACTCTCTGAAACAATAACTTACAGAAAAGGTACCAACCTGCCAAGGTAATTTCTTTATTCAGGAATTCTCTATACCATTGAAATCATGAGTTGATAAAGTTTCAGTCTAGTTGATAATATCAACTTAGATGTATCTGTGTGAGAGGGAACTTATATCTAGTGCTCAGTATTTGATATGAACTTGTTTTTTTCTTATGGTATTGACTTATTCTTTTTCTCCTTCCTTAGAATGTTTCAAACAATTAAAGACTGGTTCTGGTTGGAAGAATTATGGCTTCCTCCCACAATGAAATGGTCAGATCTTGAAGATCATGATGGACTTGTCTTTGTAAAACCTTCTCATCTATATATAACAGTTCCCTGTGCTTTCCTCTTGTTGCTCATCAGATACTTTTTTGAAAGGTAAGTTGCATGTAAGTGTGTTTTGTTTCCTCCATCCACTTATTTTCTTTGTCTAAAAAAGCACTTTACATTTTATCTCATTTGATCCTTATGACAGCATTGTGAAGTAGATTCTATTATTATCTCTATTTTATAGATGAGAAAACTGAGGCCGAAGGAGGTTAAATAACTGGCAGATGACACAGTTGTTAAATACTTAAGGCATGATTTGAACTCAGGCTTTCCTGACTACAAGTGCAGTGCTCTATCCATTCTGCCACCTAGCTACTTAAGTCAAATGGCATTTTGTCTATAAAATCTGTGATTTTATATTTCTTTTACTGCAAAGGAAGGGAAATTTTATATGGGATATACATAATTATGGGAAAGAACATATCACTATTAGTTTATATTTTTTTCAAGCATTTTAAGCCATTTACTTTTGTTTAAGCAAGTTTTGTATTATTTACTACATGTAAATATATTGAAATACAGCCTTGTTTTTCTGTTTTAGTCTGAATTTATACAACCCCTTTTCTTTATATAAGGCGACCAGATGCTCTGGATTGCTTTGATCATTAGTGTTTTCTTCAGTGATAGCTCCAATTCTGTCCCAATTCTGTCTTCTTGCTCAGCAGTCATTCAGTTTCAGAACTCAAAATAAGCAACCCTTTTAGATGATCAGAAACTTGGAAACACAAACTGGGAAAGGAGACAAAATGATTAAAAAGGTGATATATGCATCTAAGACTGCTTTCCCTCAACCTTCAGTTACAAATTTTAAGGACTTCTAGTCTAGGATTAGCATTTCCAATCAGTATGACCTGATGCTTCATGCCTTATCACAACCATTTTAGTATGTAGCAAGAATAGCTATAATAACAGCAAGAATTTTTATAGCTCTTTAATATTTGTGAAGTGCTTTACAAATATGATCTCATTTTCTCTTCACAACAGCTCTGGGAGATAAATGCTATTATTACTCCAATGTTAAAGTAGAAGAAACTGAGGTAGACAAAGTTTAAATGACTCGCCCAGATTTTCACAGTTAGTAAGTGTCTGAGTAAGATCCTCTTGACCCCAGGTCTACTACTCAATTCATCTAAATGCCTAATATATGCAGATTTAAGGGTGATTTAAGAGGTGCGTAAGTTCAAGGCCCCTCAAAATAAACAAATTAACCCATGTTAAAATATAGACCCTTAAGGTACCAAGAAAAAATATCTGGAAGAGCTGCTTTACCTTTTGTTAATTATACACCATTTCCATGAAAGGAAAAAGCAGGGCATCCAGCAATCTCTCTAATACTTGTTTGTTCTCCTTCATTGTCAAAAAGTTAATCTTTATCTAATTAAAAGGATTCATTGTTTAAAAAAAGGGTCTATGTTCTCAGAAAAGGCTTGTGGAACAGTTCTACAGAAGCAGCTCCTGAATTGCCTTGCAGGATGGGACTGAATAGAGATCTGTGTATTTCATAGTTATCAAAACGTAAGAAGACTTTTTTTTTCTGGAAAATTTGCTTTAAAAGACCCAGACCTTAAATACACACACACATGCGCACACACACACACACACACACACACACACACACACAGAGACATATATACATAATACACTTTTGAATCTCCTATTATATATGTACAGTGTGTATATATGTATGTGTGTACACACATGTGTATGTATGTAATAGAAAGTTCAAATGTGTATTCTGTATATACACATATGTATATACATATTTATGCATGCATATACATATATACACAATATATACACATATATTTTTATGGGTGTGGTAGTGAAGACTCCCAAAATTCAGTAATATCCTTCCTCTTCCCCTCCCTTTTTTTTCTCTCTCCGTGGAAGTATTTAAAGAAAGCTCTGGATTCCTAGCTCCAATGTAGCTGGAACTTAGGGGGTGATAAGGATGACCCTGTGATATGGTTCTAAAAGAACAACCTTCAAACAATTAATCAAGTATTTGTTAACTACCCCTATGTGCTAGGCACAGGCAGAGAGGACAGGACCACTTTCCTGTAATTGGCTCTGATCATAGGATCGTACAATCATAGATTTAGAATTGTAAATGAAATTTAGAAGCCATATAGTTTAAACCTTTCACTTCACAGGTAAGAAAACTGAGGTCCAGGGAGATTAAACAACTTACTCATGGTGACACAAGTAGTAAGCATCAAAGTCAGTATTTGAACCCTGTTCCTCTAATTCCAGGGTCAATTCTACATTCAGGCTGGCTCCATTCCAAGTCCAAATTTGGTATTTTTTTCTAATATATTATGTAGCTTCAAACAGGATTCCATATTAGAGTCAGTAGTTCTATGATTCAATTTCTTCTTTTCTTCTTCTTCCCTCCCACCATATACCTTCTGTTGTTATCTTTACTCTTTGCACCATACAGTAGGCACTTAATGATTGCTTATTGACCTACATTATTCATAGTCTCACTGTCTCTACTTACCCCTTCCTGCCACCAGTTGGCTAACCTGATATTAGGTTGCTCTGAAATTATTCCACCACATTTTTTCTTTTTTATATTTTATTTTTCCCCAATTACATGTAAAATAATTTTTAACATTGATTTTTTTCTTGGCTTTTTGGTGAGGCAATGGAGGTTAAATGACTTGCCCAGGGTCACACAGATACCAAGTGTCAAGTATCTGAGGCTGGCTTTGAACTCAGGTCCTCCTGACGCCAAGGCTGGAGCTCTATACAATATGCTACCTAACTGCCCTTTTAACATTGATTTAAAAAAAATTGAGTTCCAGATTCTCTCCCTACCTCCTTACCTACCCTTCCCCTTCATTGAGAAGGCAAGCTATTTGATATATAGTATACATTTTCAGTCATGCAAAACATATTTCCATATTAGTCATGTTGTAAAAGAAAACATAACAAATAATAAAACAAGAAAAATAAAGAAAGTTTTCAAAAGTATGCTTCAATCTTCATTTATACTCTTTCAATTCTTTCCCTGGAAGTGGATAGCATTTTTCACTGTAAGTCCTTTGGAATTGTTTTAGAATACTGTATTGCTGAGAATCGCTAAGTCTTTCACAATTCATCATCATACAATATTGATGTTACTGTGTACAATGTTCTCCCGGTTCTGCTCATTTCACTTTGCATCAGTTCGTGTAAGTCTTTCCAGATTTTTCTGAGAGTATTCTGCTTGTCATTTCTTACAGCACAATAGTATTCCATCACAAACATATACCAAAACTTGTTCAGCCATTTCCCAATTGATGGAATTCCCTTTAACTTCCAATTCATTGCCACCACTAAAAGAGCTGCTATAAATATTTGTGCACTTGTAGATCCTTTTCCTTTTTGTTTTTTATCTTTTTGGGAAACAGACAGTAGCAGTAGTATTGCTGGGTCAAAGTGTATTCATGATTTTATAGTCATTTACTCTCCAGAATGGTTGAATCAGTTCAAAACTCTACCAACAGGGCATTAGTGTCTCAATTCTCCCACATCCCCTCCAACATTTGTCACTTTGCTTTTCTGTTATATCAGCCAATTTGATAGGTATGGAGTGGTACCTCAGAGTTGTTTTAATTTGCAGTTCTCTAGTCAATAGTGATTTAGAGCATTGTTTTCATATGGCTATAGATAGCTTTTATTACTTCACCTGAAAACTGCATGTTCATATCCTTTGACCAGTTATCAGTTGAGGAATGACTTGTATTCTTATAAATTTGCCTAAGTTCTCTATATATTTGAAAAATGAGGCCTTTATCAGAGACTTGATATAAAAAAGTTTTCAGAGTCATGATTACTGAGTATTTCCCTCCATCCTATTTTTCTTCCTGTTTATGCTTCTTTCTCTCCTTTCACCCTGTCCCTCCTCAAAGGTATTTTGCTTCGGATTACCTCCCCCTCCAATCTGCCCTCACTCCTATCAGCCTCACCCCTCACTTCTCTTTTTCCCTTCCCTTCCAACTTTACTGTACAGTAAGATGGATTTCTATGCCCAAGTTAGTGTATATGTTATTCTGTCTTTGAGCTAGTTCCAGCAAAAGCAAGGTTCAAGCACTGCCTCTCCCCATTTCTCCTATCTTCCTCTCCACTCTAAAAGGTCTTTCATACTTCTTTTATATCAGATAATTTACCCCTTTCTACCTCTCCCTTCCCCCTTCTCCTAGTACATCTCTCTTTTTCACCCCTTAATTTTATTTTTTTTTAGATATCATCCCATCATATTCAGATCACACCTGTGCTATCTGTCTATGTATATATACTCCTTTTAAATGCCCTAATAATGAGAAAGTTCTTAGGAGTTACAGGTATCATCTTCTCACATAGAAATGTAAACACTTTAACTTATTGAATCCCTTATGAATTTTCTTTCCTATCTACGTTTTAATGTTTCTCTTGAGTCTTGTATTTGAAAGTCGTATTTTCTATTTAGCTCTGTTCTTTTCATCAGGAATGCTTCAAAGTCCTCTATTTCATTAAATGACCATTCCCCCGCTCCCAAAGGCTTATACTCATTTTTGTTGAGTAGGTGATTCTTGGTTGTAATTCTAGCTCCTTTGCCCTCCAAAATATCATATTCAAAGCCCTCTGATCTTTTAAGGTAGAAACTGCCAAATCTTCTGTTATCCTGACTGTAGTTCCACAATATTTGAATTGTTTCTCTGGATGCTTGCAATATTTTTTCTGTGATCTGGGAGCTCTGAAATTTGGCTGTAATATTTCTGGGAGTTTTCATTTTTGGGTCTTTCAGGAGGTGATCAATTGATTCTTTCAATTTCTGGAAGATGATGTTAGGCTTTTTCTTTGATCATGACTTTAAGGTAGTCTAATAATTCTTAAATTATCTCTCCTGGATCTATTTTTCAGGTCGGTTGTTTTTCCAAGGAGATATTTTATATTTTCTTCTATTTTTTCTATTCTTTTGATTTGATTTTATTGTTTCTTGATGACTCATGGAGTCATTAACTTTCACTTGCCCAATTCTAATTTTTAAGGAATTATATTTTTCAGTGAGATTTTGTACTTCTTTTTCCTTTTTCAAGGAGTTCTTCTCTTTGATGAATTTTTGTACCTCTTTTTACCATTTGGCCTATTCTGTTTTTTAAAGTGTTATTTTCTTCAGTATTTTTTGTGTTTCATTTGCCAAGCTGTTGCCTCTTTTTTCCCCATTATTTTCTTGCATCACTGCTATTTTTTCCCCCAATTTTCCCTCTAACTCTCTTATTTGATTTTTAAATCCTTTTTGAACACTTTCAGGAATTATTTTTTGGGCCTGAATGCAATTAACTTTTTTTTTTGAGGTTTTGGATGTAGCAGCTTTGACATTGTTGTCTTTTTCTGAGCTTGTCTTGATCTTCCCTGTCACCATAGTGACTTTTTATGGTCAGATTCTTTTTTGTTTTGTTTTTTTGTTTTGCTCATTTTGCAGCCTGTTTATTGACTTTTAACTTTATGTTAAAGTTAGACTGTACTCCTGGGGTGGAGGAGGCACTATCCCAAGCTTTAGGTGTTTTGTACAGCTGTTTTCTAAGCTAGTTCTGTGTATCTGTAAGTTTTTAGTTCTTTCAAATATATATGATGTAAGGAGAGGTGTGGTCATTGTTCTCCTGGCCTGTGCTCTGCTTTATTAGTGACCACAATCATTCTTTTCCACCCTGGAGCTGTGACCAGGGTGCCTTCTCCCTTGTGGCTGCAAGCTCTGATGTGTCAGTGCCCCTCCTCCCCTAGGACTGTGACCCAAGACTGTGACTTGGATTGAGTGTGGGCAATGAAACAGAATCCTACACCCAGTGCCAGAAAAGGAATCTCTATAATCTCCTTCTGACCAGTTGTCTGACCCCCTTACTGTCTGTGGGCTGAGACTTCTGGAAAACTCTGCTGCCAATTCAGCTGACCCCAAGGCCTGTTGTTGTCTTGCTGAGGCATGGCCTTCTGCTGTCTTGCCAGGGCATTTTCTGTGCTAGACTGAGCTCCACTCTTAACCTGGTGAGACAGACCTTTCCTGCTGACCTTCTAAGTTGTCTTGGGCTGGAAAATTGTTTCACCCCATCCTTTTGTGGGTTCTGTTGCTCCAGAATTGACTTTGAGGCATTGTTTTAAAGTGATTTATAGTGGAATTTGGGAGAGCTCAGGTGAAAACCTGCCTTTTCTCCACTGTCTTGGCTCTTCCCCCATAACCACATTTTTGAAAAGGAATCAGATCTTAATTTCTAGCTTTATTGTATTTGTGTTCTGTTATTTCTACCTATGTAATCTTGCCTTTTCATACTTCATATAGCTGCCAAAATGATACTTCTTTCTCTTTATCTATTTAGATTTAGAAAATCTAAATCACAAATACTTTTTATTTTTTTCCAATTCAGAATTCTTTTCCCTCACCTCCTCTCCAACCCATCCCACAAATTAGAAGACAAGAAAAACAAAACCCGTTACACAAAATGATATTCTTAAAGCATTGCTCTGACCATTTCACTATTCTTCTCCAGAAGATTTGGTAGCTTCCATTTGCTTTTAGAATCAAATATAAACATCTCTGTTTGGCATTTGAAGCCCTTCACATAGTACCTGGCATATAGTAGGCTCTTAATAAAGTTTTTGACTGACTGATTGACTGACTGACTGTCTGAGTCTAGGCTATCTTTCTAGACTTCATATCCATTACTGCTTTTCATACTCCCTCTCACAAGTTACTAAATCTTGTTGTTTTTACCTCTGCAATGTCTTTCAGATCTCACTCCTCTAGTCCCACAACTACAAGTCTTCTTCAGGGTCTCATCACTTCTCACCTAGATTATTGCAATAGCTTCCTAATTGGTCTCCCTGTTTCACATTTCTCTTCATTACACTTCATCCCACACACCAAACAAAAATGGTTTTTCTTTCCAGTGACAGCTTTCTGCCACTAGGATGAAATACAAATGCCTATATTGAGCCTTCAAAAGCCCTATACAACCTGGCCCCAACCAATTTTTCCAGCCTCCTTGGACTTTATTCCCCCTCCCACATTCTCCAATCCAAGCAAACTGACCTCCCTGTTCCTCATGCAAGATACTTCATCTCCTTGCTTTTACACTAGCCATTTACCATGTCTGGAATGCCCTCCATCCTAAGGCCTGCCTGACAGAATCCCTCTCTTTTTAAACAGACTACTCAAGACCATCATTTATATGAAAAAGACTTTCTTGATTCCCCCACACCTATCCCCACTGCTCTTTACCTCCCTCTCAAACTTCTTTACATTTAAGTAGTTCATATTTATTTATTCTCTTTATGTTTGGTCTGCATATAATTATATGTGTACTTATCTCCCCCATTAGAATGGAATCTTTTTGCAACAAAGATTACTTCATTCTTTGTACTTGTATCTAGCATAATGCCTAACACATAATTGATACTCAATAAATACTAATCATTTGGTTGATTGATTGATTATTCAGGTCACACAATCTACCCTCCATTCCATCTCCTAGCCCTACTTTCACAGCCTGACCTCCTTCCTGGAGTGCCTTTCTTCCTCACCTCTGCCTATATTCCTACCCTCCTTAGAAAGCTTGGTCCAAGCACTCTCAGGCCCTTCCTAACCTAGCTTCTTCCCCATTATGTCACATTTACTTTGTTTACATTTTGTACCTACTTATTGTTGTGTCTCTCAATAGAATGTAAGCTTTTGAGAGCAAGAGCTGGTTTGTTTTTGCCTTGTATCCCAAAATCTAGCAAAGAGCTTGGCACATAGTGGGGACTTAATAAATGCCTTGTCAATGAGTTAATTTAGTAGAATGTAAATATATGTCCATATAAATATATTATAGAAATTTGATATATATATTTCCATCATTCTTAACCACAAAATAACTCCCCAAACCACACTTTATTTTTGTAGGCTTTTTTAGTTTCTAATGTATGTTGATGGTAGAAAGAACTGAAATAGAACATTGTATTTTCCCATTCCTTTCATTATAAGAATGCTATTTTCAGTTTTTAACTCTGGGCATATTCACTAAACAAGAAGAAAATTGCCTTTTATTATTATTTGATCTAATCCTGTAATTTTCATTGGGTTAAGAGAACCTGTAGTTTCATTAGCAAGACGGTATAGTGAAAAGAACAATATTTGAAATTGGAAACTTCAAATCCCAGCTCTGCTACTTACCTTGGGCAAATCAATTAACATCTCTGGACCTTAATCTTATCTGCAAAAGGAGAGAGTTGAACTCCATCATACAGTGGAAAGAGTGTAGGATTGGACCAGGGTTCAAATCTAAGCCTGGCCATTTATTACCTGCATAACCTTGGACAAGTCAATTAAGTTTCAGTTTCTTCTACAGAGTGAGGAGATTGGACTTGATGATCTTTGGTAGCTATTGTTCGGTGTCCTTTTTAGTTCCAGATCTATGATCCTATGAACTTTAAAATACACATACATGCGCTTATGCCAGTAGCTCAGAACTGGGTATAGTATGCCTGTCTCATGTTATCAAACAGTGAACTTGCATCTAAATCTTTTGCATTTTTTTATTTTGGCATCATCTTATATTTTTTAATTTTTGCTCATGTTTCCTAAAGGTTAACTTTCTGGGGGACAACAATTAATTAAACATTACTAAGGTGATAGTGTCAATTTATACTGGCTCTTTCTTTATTTGAGATATCGGATAAGATTTTGCCAGTCCCAGAGATGCATGTGTTACAGAATAAATTTCTTAATTGGAAAATTCCAGATTTTTTTTTATAAATGGACACTTATTTTGCAACTATGACACCTAATTCCTTCAAAGGATGGATGAAATAGTTGAAATTATTAAAAATTAACTTAAACCTTTGTTTGAAAGTTGTCAAATCTTAGGGGCAGCTAGGTGGCACAGTGAATAGAGCCCTGGCCTTGGAGTCAGGAGGACCTGAGTTCAAATCCAGCCTCAGACACTTAACACTTAGCTGTGTGACCCTGGGCAAGTCACTTAACCCAATTGCCTCACCAAAAAAAAAAGTTGTCAAATCTTGCCTTTCTTAGGAATTTTCAAGGATGTTTTAGTGTATTTTTTCATGTTTCTGAATTTTCAATTTTTAGTTGACAATATTAGGGCCATTTCCAAGGAAATTTTGGTTTGTTTGGAAGTTTGATGGCATATAAATCTGAGCAAATAGTCTTGTGAGTTTTCCTGACTTATTTTGCTAATCCCAGAAGTGTGAGTAAGAAACTGAACTAAATGACTGAATGTTTATTCCCATCTAAACCTTCTATCATTACACACAGTAAATCCTAACCTGCAGATCAGACTTAAAGTGCAGGGCCATTGGCAAAATTATAGGAAAGAAACTTGCCACTTAAAAATGCCAGAATCACACAGAATTTGGAAGAGTAACATACTAAATTAGTTGCATTTAAGCCATTATCATCAAAGGTAACCTTCTGGGAATAGAGCAATTATTTATTTTAATTATTGGAAATCATGGGAGTGAAACTGTAAGAGGCAATGCAACTGTTTATTTTAATTCCTGGACTTGCATATAAACATGTTTTGATTGCCACAAACTGCATTTCAAAATTGTGTTTAGTGTTTTAATGTGTTTTTTTTTTCCTTTTTAAGCTACTGCCTTTGTGCAAGTCCTGAAATGTTTCTTTCTCTGAACTTCTGCTATACAGATGTTTGATCCAGGCAAAGTCAGCAATAATACAAATAAATGACCAGCCTTTTGGTAGAATCAGGAAATTAAAGTTCCACTTTGAGGGCTAAGCTCTTCATTTTCTCTTTTATATTCTTACAGGTTTATTGCCACACCTCTAGCAAAGACTTTGGGCATAAAAAAGAAAATCCCAAAGAAGATTCAGCACAATCCTGTCTTAGAGAATTTTTTCATCCAGTCCACCAGGCAGCCTTCCCAAGTAAGCATATTAATTCTTAGAAGATAGCTTTTGGATTAGAAAACCTCAGCCTTAATGTTTTAATCAGGCATCCATAGTTTACCTCATCTGCTTGAGGAATCTATTCCAATTGACCTGCGAATGATTTGATTCATTTGGACTCTTTTCATTATCCTGCTGACAGGGCACATAGCATCCAAAACAAAATAAAAAGTGATGGATAAATGTTAATGGTTGATTTACTATAAAGTAATCAGTGTTTAAGGTAGATATCTTTAATAGTAAGAGGATAAGTTATATTGATCAAAAGCAGACATCCTTAAAACAAAATTAACTGGAACTTATCCAAGATTTCATGCCTTTGATTTGCAATGATGCCACATAAACTCATCTGAATGCTGAACCAGACCTTTTATGTCATAGGTCTGGTGACTTCATTTATAGTAGAAGAAATCTATAATTCTAGAGATGACTGACTCTATTGATCAACATGAATACATTATAGTTCAGACAAAGTAATTTCAAGAATATATTTTCACTTCTCTTACAAGTCCTCATATAAATCTGAACGATGATAAGACAGGCTTGAGCCAACCCTTGGTCTTTACGCAGAATTGACTTGTTTTGATCATTAAATGACATGCTGAGGATAAATGGCCTGGTAAGTCTGGGATGCTTTCCTCCACCAGCTCGCTCTGGGATATCCTTAACTCCCTGAACTGTCCTTTTATTTTGATTGTCTGTTTGATGTTGATAAGGTACATGGGTGGTGGTTTGGTTTCCAGTTCACATATTCCTTAAACTCCACTAATGTAAATGAAAATATATTATTAGAAATTAATATATGCTGAATCTTCTGTGTTTTGCTAATCCTGTTGGCAATACCTCTTTACCTGAGTCTCATGAGCAGCAGAAAATATTCTTTCAAGTTCAGTGACAGGTAATAGTTAAGGTGTTTTCTTGTTGTTGTTGAGTCATTTTTTAATCATGTTTGATTCTTCCTGACCCCATTTGGGGTTTTCATGGCAAAGATACTGGAGTGGTTTGCCATTTCCTCCTCCAGCCCTTTTTTCAGACGAGGAAACTGAGGCAAACAGAATTTAGTGACTTGCCCAAGGTCACACGGCTAGCTTACTAGCTTGTCTGAAGCTAAATATGAACTCATGAAGATGAATTTTCCTGATTCCAAGCCCAGTGTTCTATCCACTATACCACTTAGCTGCCCTGGTTAAGGTGTTGTCATTTTTGGCTCATTCGAAGGTGTTATGTGTGGAGTTCATTGTGAATTCTAAATATAAGGCAATCTCTTAACATATGATCAATAAATTGACAAAAGTACATAAAGTATATAAAATTGAAGCAACATGGAGCACCCTAGCAATATAAACATTTCCTCATCAGGCTATTGATTTTGAATATAAAATTTAACAAAGACTGATGGTGATGGAAAGACATATGCTTTCATTAGGCCTGCAAGTTCATCAAAGTTCTTTACTGACTGTGAAAAGATATAGCATAACATTAAGTACCTCACACATCCATTCAGAGTCTTCTATCTTGCAGAAGCATATTCAATGTAAAAGTTCAGTTATTCAGCTAACTGATATCATCAGTAAGAGTAGCTGGTATCTGTATAGTGCTTCAATGTTTATAAAACATTTTACATATATTTTTGCATTTGATTCCTGCAACAACCCTATGAGGTAAATGCTATTATTATTTACATTTTACAAATGAGGAAATTGAGGTTGAGAGAAGTTAAATGACTTATCCAGGCTCTCATTGCTAGTCAGTGTCAAAGATAAAATTTGAACTCAAGTGTTTCTAAATCCGTATCCAACACTCTGTCACATATTTTATTAGCATGTCCTGTAAGGACCATTCTAAACAGAGGTCTACCCAGGTTCCAGGAAATGAAACCATACTGCCTGCATCTGAGTTTGGTATTAGTGACAGACAAGGGTCAGGTGTTCTATAGAATGATGGCACGTATGTATATACTAAAGACTAGAGTCTCTTAGTGGCATGGAAGGAATCCTTGGCTTCTTGAAAGCTGCAGCAATGGAATACCAGTAAAGCTTTGGCTAATTTTGCCATACTGGAAAGGCTTTTAGAGAATGGTCTGTCAACAAGAGACTGTGCTTTTCAAGGAATATTCCAAGACTGGAGAAGCTCATTACCACCAAGTTGGCCCTGAAAATGATGAAATACAGTCATGGCAAGCCACGAAGCAAAAGAAAAATGTAGTTTTGGTTTTTTTAAGTCCTTCTAATTCAAATAGCCTAAGCCAAGCAGAGGTGATTCACTTCAACTTTAGTATATCATAGCTAACCAACAAACTGCAACAATGGAAAATGGTGGAGCTTTTTCTTTGTTTGTTTTGTTGGAAAGTGACAATTTCTGTGATTAATTTTAACAGCTTTAGACCATGGAAATAATATCATCTAACAAGAGCAGAATTTTAGTATGTGTAACAAAACCTTTGGAAGTGTTCTATTTTGATTCTGTGGCTAGCTTTAGGTCATTCTTACTATGAAAAGGAAAAATTATTTCTAGGAAGGGTATGATATTGGCTTATGTCAGTGGGGTGTTAATACTTGATTATAGAAGAAGGTAAACTAGTGGCCAGAATTATCCAAGTCATAATCCATCATGAGGTCACGAAATAACCAACTTGCTCTTACCTCAATCATGATTCTAACCTTGGTGTTTGGATTCTCATTTTTAATTGGGGGCTATATGAAATATAAATTTCATATATTTTTGTTATTACAAATAGTCATGTGATTAATCAGGTTAGTTGAATGTAATTATTTATCTTTTAAGAGGAAAAAAGAAAGTGGAGGCTATTTCAGAGGTAGATTCCTTATTAGGGACCTGAATCTATTTGGAATTTAAAAACTCAACTGGGCATAATTTTAACATAAGACATGAAGAGAAACATCATATTATCAGACATTTGCTCTGCTTACATGACTTGAAGCTATATGCCAACTCTAAAACAAGTTACTTAAGACATTGAATTATGAATAAATCTGGTATGTTACGCTCTTAGAATTTGGTTTGAATAAGTGAAAGTAAACACAACAAGTGGTAAAAGCAAAACTTAATGAGGTAAGTAGATTTGCTATCAAAAAGAAAGAAAAATTAAATTTTATCCAAAGGAAAACTTTGCAAATCAGAGGAATTAACCACATAATAGTTAAAGAAAATCTTTTCAAAAAGAGCATTCTGTTTATGGAATTTCTGAATTTTAGAGCTATGTGGGCCTTTAGGCATTATCTAGCCCAATCCCTTCATTTTACAGTAGGAAACAGAATCAGAGGGGTTATCATTTTATTAGGTCACATAGCTGGGAGAGCCAATTATAGAAAACTGAATTTTCATGTTCTTTCCATTATACAATATGCCTCTTTTCAGTAAAGAAAAAAAAATATATACATGTAGGATAGGTAGTAAACTTAAGATAGTAAATTAGTAGTTTCTGTACACAGCCTAAATTATTTGACAGTTCAGCATGATTTAATATAGCCCTAAATAGTATCATAAGTAATGGAATGAGACTTAAGCCCTATAACTTGAATTATAGTGACTTGAATAATATTATGTTGGAAGGAACTCACTAGCATTACATAGTCCTAGAGAAGACTGATTAGTGGTAAAAATAAATGAAGGGCAGAGATAAACAGAATACCATCAAGAATATGTATTGATACTTTGAATATATCATTCAAGGTGGGTGGTGGAAGTAGTTGCTCTACCACACCAAGAAGGTAACAGAGGACTAATTGATATCACCAATTTATGTTGTGAAATCAAGGCATTATTTCTGTAGCATCAGACTAAAGCCTATGTATGTTGGTTAGTAAAAAAATTGACCATAGTTTTATATCATTGGAGTTTAGGAAAACAGAATATAATGACCCAGTAGTTTATAATAAATGACCCATCAATATATTCATACATATTATCAAAAAGAGATTCAAAATACTTCTGCACATTAGCTTGGAAAAGATTATGTAGATAAAACTGTCAAATATATAGAAAGGGGAGTGCAAGGTTATTTGTTGGGTGTGACTGAAGATTTTGTTGTGATGATTCAGGATAGAATTATTACTTCTAAAAAGTATTGCATACATATAGTGATGAAAAGTTTGGCAACACGTACAGATTGTGTATGATGTGGCTTTGTGACTAGTGACAATGGAACAAAGTATGCACCACTTTGGCTACCATGGATTGTACTCATATAAATAATAATATTATACTAATACTACTAAAATCATACAGAGCAGCCAGTCCTCAAATGTGACTTGATAAATTAACACATTATTTAACACATATGAACCTAAGAAACACAGTATATGTGTATGTAGAGGTATATGTGCATACATATGTGTGTAATGTATATGTATATTAATGTAACTACTTCAAGATGTGTTGGGATAGTGCCATAATAACAGACCAACAATCCTAGCCAACACATCAAACATTCTGCTATTTGATAAAACTAATAATGCAGTGAAACTTATTGTGCTAGCAGTTTTACTTTGTAAAAACATCAAAAAACTTATGCTCCTTCCCCCCAAACCAATAAAATCCTTTCAACCTTCAAACCATCGATGTACTGCCATGGTAAAGGAGTTAAGGCAAATGTGGAAATAATAGTGGCTAGCATTTATATAGGGCTTTAAGATTTGCATGTTATCACATTTGATCTTCACAGAAACCCTGGTGCTTGGGGTCACACAGGTGATGTGTCTCAGGGAGGATTTAAATTCAGTTCTCTTTGGATCCAAATCCAGCACTGTATGCACTACTCTCAATATTGGTCTCAAATGAGAAGCTAAAAATAAAGGGGTTATCTTGAAGACTAAGGTGATTTCATGAATGGATCTGTAAGGGCATCATAGTTGTACAGTAATTGTGGTGTCAGCTCAAACATCTCTCTCTCTCCTCTTCTCCCCATCTGTTTATTGTTTGGAGTGGAGAGGAAATGAGTAGAGTGGATACAATTTCCACACTTCTATCTAGCTACCTTGGTACTGCAGAGTTTAGAGAAACTTTCAAGAGGCAACTGAACACATGCCAGATATGTTTTTCCACATTTCCTTACATGCTTCATAGGGATAGGTATGAGGACTAGATCTGTGCTTTCACTGGTTAGAGAACTCTCAGGTAGGGAAATTCTCTCTACCAGTGCAGGTTGTGATCTTCTGTGTAATTTATAATCTTGGAGAGCTGCCTAGAACAATAAGAGATTAAGTGACTTGCCCAGGGTCATACTCCAATATGTCAGAGGTAGAAACAGAATCCAAGCCTTCCTGGCTCTTAAATTAGCTCTTCATGTACTATGCCACACTGACTCTCTTTGTACGCTCCATGTTTATCATTTTTATTTCACTATATTAAATTAGCATACTCTAATGCAAATATTAAATATTGTCATAATGTCTATTTTTTTGTTATTACAAATTAAGCAGCTCTGAATACTTTTTGTACAGATATATTTTGGGGATAGGATTTTAGGTATGGTTTGAAAGATAAGATCTGTTTTTGGCTTGTATTCCATATTTACATATTGTTGTCCAAAGTGTTTCTTCTAGTCTGTAGTCCCATCAACAGTTTCCTCATAGCCCTGGCAATATCTCCCCTCCCTGCCAAGTTTGGTAGGTTTAAAGTGATATCTTAAGGTTGTCTTGATTTGCATTTTCCTGATTATTAGGGAATTTGAGCAAACTCTAATGGAGTTATTAAAGCTGTATTTCTTCCTTTATAAATTATCTATTAAGTTTCCACTGGAAAGTATGTATTATTAGTCTTATAGATTTCCATATATATTCTGGATGTCACACCTTTATCTGGCATATTTGCTGCAAATATTTTTGCAATGTTTCAAGCTATATAAATTTTGTATAATAATCCAACATGATTTTATATATCCATGTTATTCCAGATACTAAGTCATTTTCTTATAGTAGCGCATATTTCTCTTTCCCAAAAGAGAAGTAGGAATTGATTTCATCATTGAAATTATTTGGGAGAGGTCTAGAAATGTATCATATGTTACTGATTAAATATGAAAACAAATGGTCAATATTGGTTTGAGTTCACCCCAAGTTAATTTCCAGAATTGTTGAAAACTATGGTATAATAAAAAGAGTACTGGACCAAGAGTTAAGAGTTTTAGGACCAGATGTGCCACTAACTAACAATGACTTCTTGGAAAGAGCGTGGTATATTGAAAAGAATATGAAATTTTGACTAAAGACATCAAGATTTAAGTCCTGGCTCAAACTTAACTATCCATGACCAAAGACAAGTTATATAATTCTTATCCTCAGTTTAAGACAGACAACAAGTTATAAGAAAAAGAATGTTGTATTTGGAGCCAGAGGACCTGAATTCAAATCCCATCTCTATCATGTAATTTTGGGAAAGTCACTTAACCTCTCTGTGCCTGAGTTTCCTGTCTATAACATGAGGTGATTAAACTAGATGACCTCTAAGGCACTTCCAAATTCTAAATCTATGTTATCAAATTAATTAAACTTTCAAAACTTTAGTTACCTCATCTGCAAATGAGAAGGTTGGACTAAATAATGTCCAAGGTCCTTTATAGCTTTAAATCTGGGTTTCAATAACAGTATCTGTGAGGGGGTAATTAAGCATCATAACCTAAGTGTTTCTTAAGTTTAAAAAAATTCTTATTCTAAGTATACATACCTTCTGATCACTTTCACTAATGTGTGAAAATAGTACAAGTATTTTTTTAAAAAGCATTGTACAGTCTTCAAATAATTTAGATTTGTCTTTGTAGTGAATGACTTTTTCTATGTTTTATTTTTTTCTCCTAATACTTCTTTTAACTTTCTGTGGAAAAAAGGTGCTATAGTTTTTAAAACTTTATGAACCTTCTCATGCCCAAAGTGGTAATATTTTTTGTTTGTCCAATTACTCTCTGTTTAGTTTGTACAAGTATATCAAGGATCTGTGATTTAATTGATGTGGGCATTATTTCAATGATGCAACTAATAACCTCTCCATGACTTAGGAGATAGTTTTTAAAAGTTGCTGTGACTGAAAAATTTATCACTTTTTGGCAAATAAGACTCTCTGAACTAGGAAAAAAATCCTCCCACTAAACCCAAACTGAAAACCTTTCCAGCCTTTTTATCATTTGCCAGATCATGCATTATACAGATAACCTTTGAGAACCAGGGTCACTAGTATCCTGAGATAAGGCATTGGATGAGTACTTGAATGTAAATACAAAACTGCAAATTTTCTACCTGGCTTTTGTGGCACAGATTTTTATGGTTTTAAAAACTATGGCAAACTCAAATTTGTATTCCAGCATGTATATTGTTAGAAATTATTATTGGATTATAGATGGCAGGTCTTGAAGAAATACCTTATTTCTGAGAATCTCAGAGAAGTTTGTTTCAAGTGCAATTGGCATTAATTTACAAAAAAATTCTGAGCTCATAACTCAAAACATCCTCCTCAAGGTCATGCAGAAGGTTCCTAATAGAGTTTCCTATAGTTCCAGTACCATAACTAAAATTTAGTCCTGATTCTTCTTCTTTGTTTGAAAAGTATTTTATTTTTTCCAATACATGTAAAGATAATTTTAACATTTATTTTTAAAAATTTAGAGTTCCAAAATTTCCTCCTCCCTCTGTTACCTCCCCCCTCCCAGAGAGAGTGAGTAATTTTATATAGGTTATATATATACAATCATGTAAAACATATTGCCATATTAGTCATGTTGTGAAAGGAGAAACAGATCAAAAGAAAACACACACACACACACACGAAAGTGAAAAATAGTATGCTTTAATCTGCATTCAGACTCCATCAGTTCTTTCTCTGGAGGTGGATAGCATTCTTCATTGTGAATCCTTTGGAATTGTCTTGGATCATTGTATTGCTGAGAATAGCTAAGTCATTCATAACTAATCATCATATAATGTTGCTGTTACTATGTAAAATGTTCTCCTGGTTATGTTCACTTCACTTTGCATCAGTTCATGTAAGTTTTTCCAGGTTTTTCTGAAATCATCTTGTTTGTCATTTCTTTTGGCACAATAATATTCCATTATAATCACATACACAGTTTGTTCAGCTATCCCCCAATTGATGGGATCCCCTCAATTTCCAATTCTTTGATGTCACAAAAGAGCTGCTATAAATATTTTTGTACAAATAGGTCCTTTCCCCTTTTAGTCTGGTGCTTCTTGATTGCCCTCTATTTACATTTATTGTTGATCAATCATTCATTCTTTTGTTCTGTTCCTTTTCAGAATGACCTATATGGTCTAGCAAAGAAGTGTAACCAGACTGTACAACAGGTTGAAATATGGTTTAAGAGACGACATAATCAAGAAAGGCCTTGCAGACTAAAGAAATTCCAGGAAGCTTGGTAAGAAGGAAGCTAGAAGCATGGATAGTTTTGTAGTTTTGTGCACATGTATATATCCTAAAGTTTAGGATATCATCCATACAAATTTTTTTCAACCAGTTCATCTATTTAAGGGGTCAGTGCTTGCTCCGTTTATGAACTTGTAATTTAGAAGTCCATTATCTTTTTTCGGCAGCCACACTACAATTGTCAGCATAGATTATATGGGGAAAGTTCTGTTTTCCCTTCAGAATATAGGTTAGGATGACATCTGCTTTTGTCTGAATCAGATACTTAACCTGTTATCTGCATATGGATTGAGAAAACTTACTGTGCCATAGTTGAACAGGATAGTCAGGTTGGGCTAGGGCCTCAAGCTGAATTCTTGTAACAGAGACAGATTTTAATAGTTTATTAGGGCAATATTTTGATAGTTTATCAGAGCAGATTTCTTTTTCTCAATTAGGCACGGCTACTTCTATCTTAAATGTCATTGTATTCCAGCATACCTCAGCTCTTAAAGGTATGGACACTGGTACCTATACAAAAGTAAGATACAAAAGATGTTACTTTTCATTTTTTTTCCCCTTTACTTTGGTCCAAAACTTTTCTTTCTTGTTAAGAAAAATTGTTGGTATCTTTTGTTTTTAAATCACCCTCATTTTTTCAATAAATCCCTTCCCCACCAGAGAACTATCTTTTACAATGAAAAAAGAAGTTCAGCAAAACTAACCAGCACATCAAACTAGTCTGATATTATTTTCAGTTTTCCATGTTTATACCCTATCCCTTCCCACCCCCACTATTGCAAAGAAAAGAGAACAAATGTATCCTCATAACTATTCTTCAGACCTAAGCTTGATCACCGTAATTACACAGTGTTCAGTTTTGATTTTGTTGTTTCCATTTACATTATTTTAGTAATTGTATATGTGATTTAACTGATTCTGCTTACTTTACTTTTTATCTGCTCCTGTGAATCTTCCCTCTGATTTCTGTATTCATGTTGGTTATTTCTTACAGTGGAGTCATATTCTATTACATTGATGTATCATCATTTGTTTAGCCATTCCCCAGTTGATGGAGAATTCTACTTTTTTCCCCCAGTTCTTTGATGCTACAGAAAGAGTTACTGTAAATATTTTGGTGCATATGGGCCTTTCTTTTTATCTTTGAACTTCTTGGGTCATATGCTTAGTGGAGGGATCTCTGGGTCAAAAGGTATAGACATTTTAGTTACTTCTTTAGCATAATTCCAAATGGTCCAGATTTTTTTTTCCAATTAGACTGATGTTGGATCTCAAAAATATTTTTCTCAGTTCTCTTACTTTCCTGCATTTATGATAAGAATAATTGTGATGTAGGGTCATATTTAGAGGAATATTCCTAAAGATGCCTCTTGAAATGAGCTCTCATATTTCAGCCTTCCGTGATGCCAAGACTAATTCATATTTCCTTTTCCACTTTTGACTTGAAACGCAGAGTCTAGTTTGTTTCTTAACTCATTTTTGTTATTTGAAACACTTGCTCTCACCTCTTGAATTCTACTACAGATGTCACTTGGCTCTGAATCAATGTCTACAATATTACTGCAAAATAATATGAAGTAGAGTTTTCCCCAGGAGCTGGTACTGTGGTGCACTGTCCTTTATTATTCTTTATGGCAAAGATGATTCTTATTTTTTTTTCTTACTGGACAGGTACTATTTCTATCACTGAGCCTAGAATTAATGCACTTATCCTATGATAAATTTTTATTTAGAAAGAACATGAGAACATCTTCAATTACCCTTTTCAATTAAAGTTTTTTGAGTTATCAACAATTTTTTTTTCTCTCTCACATACTCTTACCATACTGGAAAAAAAAAAGAGAGAGAAGCAAAATACCCTTAAAACTGGCTTTTCATGTTCTTTGACCATTTGTCAATTGGGGAATAGCTCTTATTCTTATAAATTTGAATGAGTTCCTTATATATCTTGAAAATGAGATCTTTATCAGAGAAACTTGCTACAAGTTGCCCTGTCATCTGTTTCCATTCTAATCTTAGCTGCATTGGATTTGTTTGCGTAAAATTGTCCATTTTATTTTCTGAGATCTTCCCTTATTTTATTACAAATCTTTCTATCTATACATCTGAGAGTTAATTTCTTCCTTGTTCCTTTAATATGTTTATGATGGGACCTTTTAGAACTAGATCATATATTTATTTGGAGTTTATCTAGGTATATGCTTTGAGGTCTAAACCTAATTTGTGGGATTTAGTGAAATGGCTATGCTTGAGGACCTAGAGGGCCACATGTGGCCTTGAGGCCACAGGTTCCTCCCCCCGCCCCATCTAAAGAATCTTAAGATTGGCCAGACTAGAGTGGAGGGTGCAAGTAATCAGAAATAAAGCTGGATATGTAGGGTCAAAATCCCCTTGCTTGGAAAAAAGATGAGAAGAAAGAATACTGTTCTAAGTCAAGGGATTGAAAACAGGAAAAGAGATTAAAGATTTATATCAGACCATCTAAGCTAGAAAACAATGAAGAAATTTGCATATGGTGAGTTGTGTTATCACTAATACTTATGGTTCTGTGTACTTTGTGCAGTCATTTAAAGACTTTTACTAATCAGCTGACCCATTTTTAAAAATCACTTTACTATTACTTCATTTGACCAATTATTGATTACAGTGACACAGAAATAACTTACATATGTATACAGTCCTTTTGAATTTTTTTGCAAACATATTTTTTAATCGTTTTGTTATAAACTTATTTTTAAACATTGAGTCAATTACATATACTTTCAAACCATGTACATTTTACATTTAGAATTATTTATATCAGAAAATGAACTTAATATGCAGATCACCTTAATAACACCTAGACAGATAAGTGGCTCAGTGGATGCAATGTTGGGCTTGGATTCAGAAAGTCCTAAGTTCAAGAAGGAAGGTAAGTAGGAAGTAAAGGAGGAGGGTAGGAAAGAAGGTAAATAGGAAGGAAAGAAGGAAAGAAGGTAGAAAGAAAAGAAGGAAAGTAGAAAGGAAGGAAGGAAGGTAGAAAGGAAAGGAGGAAGCTAGAAAAGAAGGAAGGGGGAAAAGGAGGGAAGGAAGAAGAAGAAAGAGAGGGAAGGAGGGAGGGAGGAAAGAGGAAAGGGAAGAAAGAAAGGGACACAAGAATTTATTAAGTGCCTACTATGTGCTAGGCACAGTACTAAGCATTTTACAAATAATATCTTATTTCGTCCTCACAACAACCCTGGGAAGTAGGTGCTATTAATAGCCCCATTTAACAATTGGGGAAACTGAGGAATACAGAGTTAAGTGGCTTGCCCAAGGTCACACAGCTAGTAAATATCCAAGGCTGAATTTAAGTAGGTCTTTCTCACTTGGCTCAGTGCTTTATCCAAAGCACCACCTAGCTGCCTCTAGAAGGATTGGGCAGGAGGTTGGAGATGGGAAGAGATAAGAAAAATATTGCAAATGGGATTGATGTTACTACCTCCAGGGGATGCAGGCAACTACTACAACTCCTACCATTGGGCACCTGGTCACTAGCTCCCTCCACTTGCCTCTTGCCTAGTCACCAGTTTATTTCACCTAGATTCCTGTCATTAGCACCTCAGCTTCAATCTTGTCAGCTCTCCCATGTCCGTGCCTCTTGCCAAGCCTGGGAGAGCAGACAGTCATTCAATAAGCATTGAGTAAACTCTTACTATGTGCCGGGCACTGAGCTAAGCTCTGAGGATACAAAGAAAGGTAAAAGTCCCTGCTCCTGAGGAGCAGTGCTTTCCTATCCCCGGACTGTCTGCCTGATGTACAGGTTTTTGAGGGGGCAGCCTCTTTTTCCTTTGCAGAAGCTGGTTCATGATAACAACAAGCACAGGAACTTTTGGGATGATTAGTAGTGTCTGTCCAGTCCATTAACAGATCTCCATGGCAACAACCTAGGGAGATAGGCCAGCCCAAGTTAAATTTGTAAAATGAAAAATTGGATCAAATGACCTAAAGTCTCTTTCTGCTTTCAGTTTTAGGATGCAGCCATGAAGTAGTTACCTCTTGACTTTCTAACATGGACTCACAAATGAGCAGAAATTTTTCCGTCATTTCAGGGCAGGTTCATTCTTGAATTGCATTTTTCTTCAGCTTTCTGGATCGAATTCTTACTCTCAGTCTAATTCCAAGGCATTCCTCATCTCAATCCAAAGTTTTGTTTTGTTTCAGTTAGTCTTGACTTGGCTATACATTTATTCTTTTTCAAATAAATGCTTCCTTTGAAGTTGTCAATAAGCATTTATTAAGCACCTGCTATGTGCCAGGCACTATATGGAGTGCTGAAATATCTAGAAAAAGATACTCATTGCAGAAGCACACTGTAGTTTCAAAATCAACACATTCAGTGTCAGTATATTAAGGGAACCAAAAGGGATGGGAAGAGTCTCTTTCCAGCTCTGTATCTCCCCATCCCCAGTCAGCTATATTCCATTGTGATTCTCTCAAGGTCATCTCTCAGTGTTAATTTCCTTCATTTTGCCCTTCTCCCAGTGTCAACTTTTTGAAAATTCAATGTCCCAGTCACTTTTGGCTTTTCCAGAAAAAATCAATTTTTTTCCTTCTAATTTAGTCTTATACTAATTAATATGGGAAAATGACATTTTACACTTTTGAGGCAATCAAGTAGATCTGGTACTGAAAATTATGACCTTGTTGTTATGAATCTTGCCTAATAAGCATTATTCTTTCACATTATACTCTCTTGTACCAGCCAGATTTTTCTTATTAATTCCAACCTTAGTTGGAATTAATAAGACAAACACATAGAAATGTTCTATGAATACAAGTTCATTTCATAAGCAAATGTAAACGTAAATTGAAACAGTTTTGAGAACTCATTTGGAAACTTTTAGATAGTTATCCTTTGGGACATTTTCTTGATCCTATGATGTAAATAATTGGGCCTCATAATTTTTTTCCTGTAGAAGCAGGAAATGAGGGATAAGACTGTATTTTAGATTTCACTGGGAGGAGTAGGTTATATGTGAAAAAAGTTTTCATTAAAAAAACTGCTTTGGGTATATAATGTAAAAATAATGTCATTGGCTAAGTTGAAATCCTTTTTCAGATATTCTTATGCATCAACTTAAATGAGCATGTTCATATCACTCCTTGTTGTTAGGCAGAAAATATCTCCTTCTATTATCTTTACAAAGAAAGCATCAGTCTAGAAAGACAGTTAGATAAGTACTTAAAATATCCAGTATGATAATGTAAATTATGTTGAGGACCTCCATCCAAAAGTCTCCTTTTTGTTAACTAGCTTAGTTACTTTGGGAAAATCACTTAACCTCCCTGGGCCTCAATTTTCTCATCTTTAAAATTAAAGTGCTGGGCCATATGGCCTCTGAGATTTCTTCTGACTCTAGATTTATGGTCTTATGATCCTGGGAACTGAATTCTAGTTTTAGCTTATTCACTAACTAGCAGTGTGACCGTGGGATCATAGATGTAGAACTGGAAGCAACCTTAGAAATAATTTAGTCCAACCCCTTCATTTTATTGATGTGGAAACTGAGTTCAAGAGGGATTGTGCCTTAACCAAATTCATGCAGACAGAAATAAGTAGCAGAGCAAGTATCTGAGCCCACATCCTCTGATTCTGAACATAGCAGTCTTTTCAGTATACCATGGTGCTTCAGTGTACGTCAGTTTTCTTATATGAAAAATGCAAGGATTGAACTAGGTGGATCTTGAAGGTTCCTGCTAAGGCTGACATTACATATTCTCTGAATAAATACTTTTCTTTATTTTGGCAGCTGGAGATTTACGTTTTATTTATTCTTAACTATTGCTGGAATTGGATTTCTATATGATGTAAGTTATCTTTTTAATATCTGTCATTAGACTCTAGTCTTTAAAAAATTTTTGCTTATGAGTTTATTATGATGTAATAGCATCAAAAAGGTAAACAACTTTGAAAAGCATTTTATTGAGATTCTTATGATAAAATTAATCATGTTGATACATTTAAGTACTTTGAGTTATGTATGATTTCATTGATGTGAGTACTCCCTCCAGGATGTAGTGCATCACCCATCCAGGCCTTCCCTAGGAGTAATGATATAGAATTAGCATTAATTATTTCAGAAGTAACTTCTCCATTGAAGTTATATTTTAAGAACAGTTATACACTTCATAATATATGATAGCTATGTACATATATAGGGGAGGAGATATTAGAAAATGTATCAGATATTTCAGTGCTATCAAAATGACTTATAGCACTTAGCACAGTGCCTTGTGCCTTGCATATAGTAAGTACTTAAATGTTTATTTAATTTGAGAAAAAATATTACCTTTTCTAATAAAAGATTCCATTTGTGCATAGTTAATTTGTTTCCCTCTCCCTCCTTTCTATATTTAGAAACCTTGGCTTTATGATCTGTGGGAGGTTTGGAATGGCTATCCAAAGCAGGTAAGCCTAACTCTTTTAGTAGTGCTAAACAGAAACAGCCTTGGGCAAACCTGGAAAATTGTCAAAGTTAGTCTTTAATCCTGTAATATCCCCTTTCCCCTAAGGCATCCAATGTCCTTATGTTGCCCCTTGACTGACTGGAGCTTCTATGTGGAGGGCCCCACCAGAAATACAGTTGTCTCTAACTTTCCCTATTTCTTCCCGCATTATTTAGTGTCTTGGACTTTTTACTAGGTAACAATGAATGTTAACAAGTTAATCAGATAAATTAACCTATGTTAATATGTAACATATAATGTCTTAACTCAGAAAGTTATTAAGGTGTAGCTCTAATTGTGTGAAGCGAAAATGCTGATACCAGATGGATAGAAGGCAATATATTCTTGATCAGATGGACTTTGCTAAGTCCCTCAAATTATGCTACACAGGTGACTGTCTACTCTGCTCATGAATGGGGCTGACCTCAGTGGGCCTCTTAGCAGATGTTCTTGAGAAACAGTGTGGCACAGTGGAAAAAACACTGACTGTAAAAGCATAGGACTTGAGTTCAAATCCTGACTCTGACATTTAAATACCTATGAGATTTTGAGTAAGCCATATAACTTCTTTGGACCTATTTTTTCATCTGTAAAATGGAGGAGCTGGACTAAATGACTTCTGATATCCTTTTCAAGGCTATCTGTGATTCTATAATTTTATAGTACTAGGCTCTAAAGAGTACCTAACATCTCATGGGCTTTTAGTCAGAAAACATTCCAAAATGTTAATAGGTTAATCAGTGGAAATTTGGAAGGGGTAAGCAGGGATGCCACCTTAGTTAACACACATGCCTTTGACCTTAAATAATAGATTTCATAAGATAGCTTTTAATAATCACTTGATAAATTATGATTAACAAAGACTGATGTTATTTTTATATCCTTAGTCCTTATAGAAACAGTCCATTTCCTGAATTCCACAGATAATACCACTAAATCAATGTTTTTATGTATAAAAATGTAATGAATATTTTCTTTTTCTTAGCCATTACTACCATCTCAGTACTGGTACTACATTTTAGAGATGAGTTTTTATTGGTCTCTGCTGTTTAGTCTTGGTTCTGATGTCAAGAGAAAGGCAAGTATCACATGTAAAACTTCTTTATTAGTGTCTTCAAAAACTCTAACTTAAAATTTATGTCTCAGGACATCTTCAATTTCACAGCTTCTCTACATATTATAGTAGTATGGTATACTACTAATTATACTATGTTAGTTATTTTTCTTCTTTTGGTAAATATTTGATAGGGAAATGATTGTGGTCCAGTTATTGTGAGTTGAAATGAAGAATCCTCTTAAAAGCAGCAACAAGTTTATCACATGGACAAATCATAAAATGATGGGGCTAGTACATTTTTGCAATTTTGTGGTGGTCTATTTCTATTCCATTTATTTTAAGAGGAATTGGGTACCTTCAAATAAAAACATAAATGTGAGATAATGAAGCAGCAGTGTTTTGTAATCATTAAAGTACTATATAAATGTGAATAATTAATTTATGTGTGTGTAAACATCTATGTATATACACACATATATACACATACATATATGTATAAATACCCATTATATGTACACTTCGATGGATCTGTGATTTCATTGGTATGGCTAGACTGTCAACTGATTTAGATCATCAACCCTTCTGTACTTTCTTATTTTGTATGGTCCTTTTTTCATATTTTCCCATTAATTCTCCATAAAGGATCTACCCAATATACTAGAGATCTACTTATTAACAAAAAATCATCTTAAGGATACCAGTTAATATGTTTGTGTGTGTATAGATAGAAAGATAACTATATGGATAGGATATTCCAGAATTCTTATTACAGCTTTAAAGTTTAAAACCACACTAAGATGTTTGGGACAATATATATGTGTGTATATTTGTGTGTGTATGTATATATGTGTATTTGTATGTACATATGTATAAAATTAAAGTGACATTTATAGATATACATTGATAAAGGTTGATGAAACAATCTGTATTTATATGTATATACATACACACATACCTATAAGATATACACGCTCAGTGTTGTAAGCAGTGGAATAGTATGATGATAATGGCCTTTCTTAGGTGATTACTTGCTTGTCAGTCTTGAAATTCATTTATCTATCTATCTGTCTATCCGTTTCTTTATTTGCTTAGGATTTTCTGGCCCATGTCATCCATCATCTGGCTGCTTTAAGTTTGATGAGCTTCTCTTGGTGTATTAATTATATTCGTAGTGGGACATTGGTGATGCTTGTCCATGATGTTGCTGACATTTGGCTTGAGGTAAACATTTGAAATTCCTGAATTTTTATTCCCAGTAAAATGTTACTTATGAGCCTTTTCTCAGTTCTTCATTTTCATTCTTATTCAATCCTGAACACAGTACTTCCAAGAATTTTGAACTCTTTAGATTTCTTGCATGGACCTTTTTGTCTTATTTAGTTTATAATTATTCTTTAGTTTCATAGATTCAGATAGACAAAAGCAAGGAGGATAACTTGGAAGAGGTTTCATTTTGGTTTTCAGTTTGAGTTCAGGGGAAGTGTGTTACCTTGAAAAGAATGCTTGATCCGGAGTCAAACAACCTGGATTCATTTCTTAGGTAGTCCTCTTAATACCTGTATGATCTTTGGTAAGTCATTTAATCTCTCTGGGCCTCAGTTTCCTCACCTATAAAATGAGAGCATTGAATTAAATTCACTATGGTGTCCTTTCTAGCCCTCATCATCTTGAGACTGCACCTGTGTAAGGTTCATGCCTTTAGCAGAAAACTAATGTTGCCGTCTGGGAGTAAAATGATGTTTCAGATTTGAAGAGGAAGAATTCTAAACCATTTCTTTGAGCCTTAAATGACACTCCAGATAGTCTTTTGCCTTCCTCCATCTTTCTTTTCCTTACCTTTTTTCATATTTCCTTTTTCTTGTTTCTGTTCCTCTTTATCTGGAGTAGATATGGGAAACAGAATGGAAGGAAAAAAACTTTCTAAATCCCCATATGGTTTGCTTCTCTCAGGTTTTCCAAAGTTGTTGTTTTTTTTTTTTTTAAGTTCCTTGTGTTAAAGCAACTACAGAAGTTTTCCACCTTGTAAGTTCACTTTTCTTTCCCCCTCCATCTCCTGACATTTCTGAGGATAGCTATGGTTATTATATAATGGGCTTAATCCCCTGGGAACTCCTAATACTTCAGAACCATATAATGATAAATTTTTTAGATTTATATGAAGCTTCATTTTAATGATCTTGGAGAGCAGTAGATCTGAAATGTACTTCAACTCTAATTCTTGGTTGGAACTTGGAGGAGAGGATCTCTACACCTTTTGAATGCTTTAAGTGTAAATCTTACTCTTCTCCCTCTCCCAGCTGCTATTTCTTAAGGACAGTGAGATATTAATGCCCTGGGAAGGAAACATTATAACAAAAGCTCTCTCCCATTGGTGCAGTGGAGAAACTTAGATCTAGAGACAAATGACCTGGGTTCAGTGACTTGGAACCCAAAGAGACTGCCTTTTACTACATATCTGATCTTGGGCAAGTCATCTAACTTCTCTGGATCTTAATTTCTACAACTGTAAAATGAATCTTGTGTAAAGACAGGAAAGAGACTAGCGTCATTAGATTGCTGAGTGTGTAATGGGGTAAGGTGGGAGTGTAATGTGTAAGAAGATTGGAAAAATAGATTGTGAAGGGCTTTGAATTAAATAGAAGATTTTATATTTGACCCTGGAAGTGATAGAGAGCCACTAGAGTTTTATTGAATGGTGGAGTTGGGTGGTGACATGGTCAGAATTGCACTTTAGGAAGATTAATTTAACAGCTTAAATGGAAGATGGACAGAAGTGGGAAGAGACTTGTGATGGAGCTCAACCAGACTATTCCAATAATCCAGTTGTGACATGATGAAGGCCTGCACTAGGGTGGTGATAATGACATAGGAGAGAAAGAGACATATATAAGAAATATAAAAATGGTAAAATTGATAGGACTTGGCAATAGATTAGACATGAGAGGGCTGAGAAAGAGTAAAGAGTCAAGGATGACACCTTGGCTGAGAATAATGATAGGGAAGTTCAGAAGGGAGAAGGTTTTGATCAAAGATAATGAGTTTAGTTTTTGACATATTGAGTTTAAGATATCTACAGGATACTTGATTTGAGGAATCTAATTGGCAGTGGGAAATGCAAATCTATAGGTTAAGAAAGAGGTTAAGTAGATCTAAGAAACATTAGCATAGAGATGATAATTGAATCTATGGGAATTGCTGAGATCACCAAATGAAATAATAGAGAGGGAGAAGAGAAGGCCTAGGATGGATTCCTGGGGAACACCCACCATGACTGGTATAAATAGAGAAGAAGCAAAATAGCAAAGAATATTAAGAAGGAATAATCAGACAAACACAGGGAGAACTAGGATAGCGTAGTATCATGGAAATCTAGAGAGAAGATTGAATCAAGAAGAAAAAAGATCATTGGTAACTTTGGTGAGAGCAGTTTTGGTTAAATGATGTTATTAAGAGGAGCGTTTCTAGGTACATCATTAGTCTTCATTAAAATATACTTAGGTTAATGATGAACACAGTGAATATAGTCAACCTGCTTCACATAACTTCAAATTGAATATTGATTGATCTGTAGTACATTTCAATTACTAGAATAAACCATTTTCTACTAGAATTGCAGGGTAGTCAGCTAGATTTATTTAAGAGCTACTTACATTATTATATAGAAAATATTAGCTGAATTAGGAATTGTTTCTAAATTGTGTATGAGCTCAATAAGCATGCAAATAAATCTTTTTTCTCATATTGTATATGCATAAGAAAAGCAATGGCTCAGCAATGTCAACAATGTATTAAATTTCCCACGTTGTTTTTCTGCGAATGTAGCCATACATGTTAAAATTCTTTTTGCTTTTCTTCCTTCATCCATCAGATCCTTTAGTTTTCTCTGCACATTTGCCTAAAAAATAAGATCATATTCACAATTATTTCAAAATTATGTACTACTTTGATAGTACTAAACATACTGATTCACTTTGGTTTTCAACATTATCTACTGAAATAACAGGTTTATTATCTTGATGGAGGAGACTTAGAACCTGGGACAACGAATATGCTTTGCCTGATATGGTCACTTACTCCCATTGTGGCTTTGGTAGATCACTTAATGCTTCATTTTCTATTCCACAATTGTAAAATGGGGATATTAATAATACCACATGGAATACATTGTGAAGTTAAGCTGATTAAAATTTGAAAAGGATTTGAGGCCCATGGTTGTTAAGAAGAGAAATGTAATGTCATATATAGTTATAATCCTCAAAGTCCTTTTATGGACAAACTATGACAAAGTTCTGTTTTGTCAGTCATTATAAATACTTTTTGATTGAAAAGCATAAGATTTCTTTTTAAAAAAAAGAATCACTAAGCACAAATTTAAAAAAAATATGCTGATACATACAACATATGACTAGAGGAATCATAGTAGATCCATAGACTCATAGGACTAAAAAGAACCTTAAAAGATAACCTAGACAAGGAAATATTTTACTATCTAAGGCATGCCCTGTTTTTAAAGTCCTGCAAGGGATGGAGATTACAGAACTTCCCTGGATATATTTTTTTCTAAATCGCTAGCCCACTTATAGCATTCTAACTGTTACAGTTTTTGCCTCCATTTGGACCCTCACAGAGATAGAGTTCCTTTGGTCTGATGGACCTGCCTTGAATGAAATCTGACTGGCCTTCATATACCTGAAGACAATATTTTCTAAGCCTTCTTTTATTTCAATTAAACAATTTTAGTTATTATAATTCTTCTTCTGAGGACCTCTTGTATACCTATTTAAATATTTCTGATATAATTTTCTTTAATATTTCTACATGTCTTTTAAATTATATTCATATTTAACCTAATATATTAATCCATAGGAACTCCTGATACTTCAGAACCAAATAATGATAAAATCTTTAGATTTATATAATGATCTTGGAGAGCAGTAGATCTGAAGTGTATTTCAACCCTAATTCTTGGTTGGAACTTGAAGGGAGAGGATTTCTGTACCTTTTGAATGCCTTATATGTAAGTCTTACTTTTCCCCCTAAACTGCTATTTCCTAAGGAGAGTGAGATATTAATGCCCTGGGGAGGGAACATTATAATGAAAGCTCATTCCTATTGGGAGACAGCATGGCGGGCATGGCGCAGTGGAGAGAAGCCTGATACTTTAAGAAGGGCCTGATAAATACTAGATAAATTAGAAGGGTTGCTTTTTTGTACTTGTACAAGTTCTTGTTAGTACACTCTTGCCAATCCTAATTTTGGTCTGCTGTGACTCTTTCCACATCCTTATGCATATCCCAATCTACTTCCATTCTATCCCATCCCGTTCACATTTGTCACTCCAAACTTATTTTTTCTTTTCATTGTACCCTTATCCCAATTATTGTGTATATTATTATATTAGCCTTTTAATTATATTAGGCTAATTATATTGCCTCCATATTAGCCTCCTAAAAAATCTAAGAGTTTACTAATCCTTTTTTTTCCCTTTCTTTCTTTTTTATTTTGTAAAAAATGCCAGTCCCGAAGTCTGGATCATTTTCTCACCCAGTTGATATGCAAATGATTAAGTCCAAATCCTTACTCCTCAAATATATTGCATATTTGAACTAATCTAGACTCTGAAGGCCCCCTTTTCTGGCTCATGCTATACTTATTTCAAGATGAGCTGCACTCTAGTTGTCTCTACCCTCTGTGGTCTTTCTCTGTTCCTCCTCCGTTATGAAAGCCCAGCCTACTTCCTGAAACCAACAGAAGATGGATAAGAAGAAAAGTCAGTTCAGATGTTACAGGTAGAAGTGATTGAAGAGGCTGCCAAACAATAACATGAATGAACCTTGAATGAATGAACCATAACACATTAACTTTCCTTCTATACTAAGGGACTTATCATGAGTCCTTCCCAGTAAACACAATGAACACAAACAGCATGTGGTTAACATGAGACAAATAAGACAAATCAGTTTTTCATGGTTGATTTCAGTATGCAATAGGGCTATGAAGAATACTGCCTCAACTCCAACCACAGGAGAAAGAGCACTGGTGGCAAGATGTGGTAAGCATGCCTATAATCCCTGATTCTGGGGAGACTGAGGCTGATGGTTTGCTTGACCTGCCACAGGCTAAGCAGATCAGGTGTTTGCACCAAGTCTTGCACCAATATAATGAACTCTGGGAAGTGGGGTGGGAGGTGTTATCAGGCTGCCTAAGGAGAGGGAAGCTGGCCCAGGTTGGAAATGGAGCAGGTCAAAGCTCCTGTGCTGAGCAGTAATAGGATCAGACCCATGAGTGGCTGCTATATTTGCTGCCTGAGCAAGATAGGGAGACCCAGGAAAGTAAGGAAGGAGGGAGAGAAGGAAGGAGAAAAAAAAGAAAGAAAAAAGGAAGGGAAAGGGAAGAGAGAAGGAAAGAATGAGGGAGGGAAGAAAGAAAAGAAGGAAAGAGATAAAGAAGGAGGAAAGAAGGAAGGAAAAAAGGAAAGAGGGAGGGGCAGAAGGAAGGCTGCCTGTCTCGGGAGTCAGGGGACGTGGCTTCCAACTTTACTTCTAATATTTATGACCTTGAGCAGATCACTTCCTTGGGCATCAGTTTCCTGATCTATAAAATGAGAAGGTTGGACTAGATAGTCTGTGAGGTCTCTACTAGCTCTCTAATTCTATGTCCTATGCCTGTTGTAACCAATTTAATTACAGTCAGGTCCACACCTACCATATCATTTTTCACTTAACATCTTTCGGCTTCTTTCTGTGTTGAATGGAGATATTAGGTGCATAAGTTAAATTATTCTAAAGCTGCCTCTGCAAGTGTTGTTGAAAGTTTGTCTGTTGACCTGTTTTTGAATGAATGTTTTTTGTTTTGTTTCAGTCTGCTAAAATGCTTTCTTATGCTGGATGGACGCAAACATGTAACACTCTATTTTTCATCTTTGCTGCTGTGTTCTTTATTACCCGCCTAATAATTTTCCCCTTCTGGTAAGTAGGCCAAGATTATTTGCTATCACATTTCTGTGAAATTTAGTTTGCCTGTCTTTAATTTTGCTGAGGTAGGTTATAGCAGGATGTTGAAGTCAAAGAGCTTCATCACCTTTCTTTCCCTAATAGAATCTTAATCTCTAGCCATGAGGACAGACTGTATGAAACAAGATGGAAGAAAAAATACGAAGGGGATCTTTTATTCATTATGGAAGCAACTTCCATTGAAGAACCTTCCCACCATGGCCAAACACAACATACACACCTCAAGCCATTGTGAAAAAAACAACAACCACCTAGCATTCCAGTGCAAGAGACAGAACTTGGAAGTATAGTTTAGGAGTGACAGAAATTGGAAGCACTAAAATGGAAAGTACATTAGCAAAGAAATATGTTGCAGTAAGTTCTTATGTTCAATCTAGAGGTTTTCCCTTAATGAACATGGATTTATCTGTGAATCTTGTAGTTTCTCCATCTGCTCAGATTGGAACGTCAGCATATTTTCATAAGAGGTATTTGCCGTTGGTCATAGATGTAATTGATATGTTATCTTGACCCAGCCATAAAGCTTGTCTGCATGGGGATCATTGCCAAAGAAGGCATTGTTCACCTAAGCATATATATGGAAAGGTAAATGGAAATTGGGAGAACAAATATTAGGATTGGCAGAAAATAACCAATATCTTATCTCTCTTGAAAGCCTTTCCTCTCATAAACATAATTCTACATGTGTATCTTGGCACAAATCAAAAAGACACATTAGTAGTAAAGAAGCCACAGGTGATTTGGAGAGAACTACCCAAAACCACGTTTTTGGTCCAGCACATATTTTCCTTCCAATCTAAATGTCACATAATCTTAGCATATAGGTCAGTGCTGTTGTTTGGTTTTAATATTTGGCCAGCAGCACTGGCGTTCAAGGACGCTGACTTGCCACATAGGGCTAATTCTAATTGGACATTAGTTAGCTTTGGGTGTTTTCTGCAATACTATAGCATATAGCCACTGAATAAAGGAGCCAGACATCAGGATGCTATGAGCACTGTCCCCCCCTCTTCCACAACTTGGATAGGAGAACAAAATCCTATTTGGCTGAAGACCAAGTGAAGGCAATTTATTCTTTCAAAGTGACATCAAATTCAGAAAATGTCTGAGCTTTATTCTCAAATCTCTTACTGATTTAAGATATAGTTTTGGTAAGTCTCACCTTTGACCTACGTGTTTAGATTAGTGATTATTGTAACACAAATGATGTTACCTTAACAGTGACTTTAATTTTGATTAATGCAGAAGGTATTGGCATTATACTGTTGTTTATGATGAGTAAGTGTATATATTTTTAAAATGATAGCCATGTTTATAAGAAAAGTACTGATTTGTAACTATATCTATCTATATATCTATGTACTATTAAGGTAACATCATTTGTTACAATAACCACTAATCTAAACATGTAGGTCAAAGGTGAGACTCACCAAATGTGTGTGTGTGTGTGTGTGTGTGTGTGTGTGTGTGTGTCCCTTGGTATTAAATCCTATACTTTTAAGCCCCAGATATCTATAAGGGCTCAGCCACTTGCCATGGTTTCTGGGGTTCAAGTTGAGTTGATAAGACACATCTGGCATGTTTTCAACTCTTACTTCCTTAAAAGCCTGCTTCAGAGTGAAGTTCTCTTCAGTTCTTACTGAGTTTTCTGGGAGTTTAATCACTATGAAATAGACTTTGAAGTCTCAACTGATCTACAGAATTCCTCTTGTTGAAGTCCAGTGAGCCTTACTCATTATTAAGCTGAGAAAATATTTCATCTGACTGTAGAAATTGTAGAGCAGTCAACATACTATAATATAGATACTTAAAGGTTCTTTTGGAAAGTTCACCATGTTATAATCCTGTAGTTTTCTAGTCAGTACCTCTTGGTGGGCTTTTTTCACTATAAGGCATTGAGCCAAACTAATTATTCCTTCTGTTTTTCCCACTGATCTATGGCTTTGCAGTTTATGCACAATTGCAGTGGTCACTGTAAAAAGAGAATTTTTTTTTCTCCTCCTTTGTTAGCTTGGCCCCACACTAATGTATAAAGTGAAGTCTGTAGCCCCATATATCATTTTAGGGCAGTTCATCTGGAAGGATTCACTTTGGCAGCACTTATGGTGGGGGGTTTTAGAGGGAATCTACAATGTAATATTTGATTCCCTATCCCACCCCCAATAATATGGAAAGAAGGGGTGCAGGACAAGAAAGGATCCCAGCTGACCAGTGTTTGTGCCTAATTTAAATAGTTCTTGAGGACCCATAGCCCTGAGAAAGAAATAAAAATTAAATACTATCCCATAAAATAACATTTTATTTGTTTTTTCCTGTCCTTCCTTTTCTAAACCTTCTTCATTTCTACTTTAATTTTCTTTCATATATCTCCCTCTTCTCTGTGTGTACCCTGGTTTCCCTTTCTTACCCTTCCCTTACTACAACCATGTCCTCAAAATAAATAAAAATTCCTTACATTGTTTTTCTAAAAGTTTTTGTTCCTAACAGTATCAGGCATAAAGGCAATTATTTTCATTTAATTACCTAGTAACCTAATTTCTTCATAACCTTCTATTCATTAATTAACTTGTATGCCTTTGAGGGGGAGGGATTTTTATCTATGCTTATGTATCATGGAAACAATATCAGGGACTCATGATTCAGGTTATTCCTCTGACTCCCGGCAATGTTGCTCTATAAATATCAAAGGGAGAATTATTTAACCTATTCTTTAAAAAGTTTCTTTCATACTCTCATGAATTTTGTAGTTCAAAAGTTTTTTTTGAATATCTAAACTATAGCCTTTTGTTTGGCAATTCTAGCCCTTTTATGTACTCTTAGAGATATAAGACGGCTAGTTACCTTTCTCATTTTATTCATTCATACATTTATAGACTGTTATATATGTTCTGTGCTCTCCATATGTTGCTAAAAATGTAAATTTCTTCCAAGTCAATGAATAGTTAAAGGTAGGAAGTACAGTGGAAAGGACACTGGATTTGGAGTCACATTAAGTGACTCCAATAGCCTCTGCTACTTAATACCTTAGTGACCATTAATAAGTCATTTCACTTCTATGGGCCTCAGTTTCCTCATCTGCAAAATGAGGTGGTCAAACTAAATGGTCTCTAAGGACCCTTCCTGTTGTCCAGATTTGTCATAACTTTCCTTCATTAACTTTCCTTTTCTAATTAGAAAGAAAAAATGAACATTCTTTTTTTTAAGATGACCTGAGGCAAGGAGGCATTAAGGCTATTGCAATAATCCAGGCATTAGGTAATAAGGGTCTGCACCAGGATTGTGTAAGTTGAGAGAAGAGGATGTATACAAAATTCTGTGTAGGTAGTTTTAACAAGACTTGGTAATGTATTAGATGAGTATAAATAAAGAATGAAAGATGGCCCCTATGTTGTAAGTGTGGGTTATTGAGAGGATAATTGTGTCCTAGAAAATAATTGGGAAGTTGGAAGAAAGGGGAGTTTAAGTGGAAAGATCAGAAGTTCTCTTTTGGATATGTTGAGTTTGAGATGTTTATAGGACATCTACTTTAAGATACTGAAGATGCAGTTGGGACTGTGGGACTGTAGCTTAGGAGAGTAGAACTGGATGTATAGATCTTGGAATTATACGCATAGGCATGATAATTGAACTCATGGGAACTGAGATCACTAAATGAGATAACAGAAAACAAAGAAAGAAGAGGGGCCAGGACAGAGCCTTGATCCTAACCTCTCTGACTAAAATAATGGATTTCTCCACACCCCATGTTCTTCTAAATTTTGGAAAAGGGGGATAAACAACAATATTATAATGCTCCATCAACCTAGAAGTCAGGCTTCTGGCAACCAAAATCACTTAGAAATAAGTCAAAACAGGGATGAGAGTGGACTTTCTAAGTCTGAATCTAGATTTAAATCAATAATCTCATTTTACATATAATTTTAAATGTATTCTTCTCAATTACATGTAAAAACAATTTTTAAGATTCATTTAAAAAAAATTTTGAGTTCCAAATTTTCTCTTTCCCTCCCTTTCTAACCCTGCTATAGATTAGAGGCAACAAATCAGAAGAGGGAGGGGGCTGTTAGAGAGCTGAGAAAGGACAGTTCTTAGCAGTTGATAGACACTCGTGCCTCACTAGTCCCCAAGGCATCACTGCATCATAACTCAAAAAAAGTATTCTACTTTAACTTACCTTCCAAGATTCTGGAATTAAGTGTTATTTCCTTTGTACTTGCTAGAAAAAGGAGTATGGCAGTATGGTTTCCTATTGAATGTAAGCTAGGGAGAGAGAAGTGATGAGAGCTTTTGGTCTGGGAGGAAAATAGTGCTTATTTTCTTATTCCAAATTTATAAATGAAATTTCCTGGGATTTTTAAAGCAGGGTGGGGGGCTGGGAGGAAGACATTTATGTTGTGATAAATTTCTCATTTCCTATTTTGTTTTTCAGGATTTTATATTGCACATTGGTTCTACCTCTACATTATCTTAAGCCTTTCTTTTCATACATTTTCCTCAATGTGCAACTCTTGATCCTGCAAGTCCTTCATCTCTACTGGGGTTACTATGTACTGAAAATTCTCATAAAATATGTATTGAAAAAGGTAAGTTACCTTCCTTCCAAATTGTATAGGTTGTTGTTGTTATAATATACTTTTTTAAAAAATTGTCAATATTATGGGAGAAATAACTTCTCTTTTAGTTCATGTGGTAGGTAAGTGCTGCTAAAATAAATCTACCACAATGTAGAAATTATAAATGTAAGAAAAAACCTGGATTTTATTATTGTGCTTGAGCATAGGTTCAAATCTCAGTTAAAAAAAAATAAACCTGAAGCCTCTGTTGGGATTCTAACAAATTGTCTTATAGACAAAATTCCATCAGAGTGACAGAGAAATTAGGGTTAGCGCCAGAGCTGGAATTAGGCTTGGAGGTGAAATCTTGTACATTTCTCTTAAGCCATAAAGGTTAAAGAAAAGACAGATTCATAATCCTTTGCTTCCTTCAATGTCATAAAAATTGAATAGATTTAGTTAAGCAGTTGTACTCTCATACATCCTCTATGGAAACAAATCTAGTTAAGCAGATTCTTTGGGTAAAATAAGTCAGGTTACAGATTAAACACTGAGTTTGCAAAATCCTACACTTACAAAACTACAAGGCTACCTTTTAAAGAAGTCATGATGAACTAATTGAAAGGAGGGGATTTACATGTCATGAAGTTGGTGTCAGGACAATTCTTCCACAAATAAATTATTTTTGGGAGGCTATTTAGATGTTGTGCTCTCTCCTTCCTCTTACTTGGCTTCATATCTCAGTAAGGTTGAGAGGTTTGTTTTTTTTTTTTAAATTCTATTGTTATTCCATGAGTCAGATTTTGGTTAGGAGAGGTTAATATTAACAGAAGACAGGATATCAGTTAACCAAAAGTTGCAGAAGGAAAGGACCTGAGTTCTGAATAGTAAAATTCAATAAAATTCAATAAAAAATAAAAACTTCCCATTACACCAGGAAAAACAACAGGGAATGAACTCTTTTAGTTTAATTCCATTTTCTAGTTAATTCTCAGTTAAGGAAAACTCTTCTTCTCTCATCCTTTAGAGAAGGAATCTTCCTAAAGTGCAGAAGCATCATACACAAACCAAATCTAAAAAATGTTTTTAAGAAACCACTTGGATTACAAAGCAAATGATCATTATAATTTCTTTAAGAGTCAAATTTCTTTGCCAGCCTTGTGGGAATTTCTTTTTCAGTTCTCTTAACCAAAGTCAGGGCCCTAATTGTAGCTGCTGTTTTTCCATTTCACCCGGTAGCTATGAGGGTCCATTTTTTAAAAACTGAAACTTCACAGTTCCATCTCATATGCTCTATTTACTGACACCATTCTTTGTATAAACTTCAGGAGGTTGTTGATGGATTTTTGTCAGCATTAAAAATCTAATTGCAACAGACTTCATCTGGGAATTACAAAACTGGGAGAGAATTCATTTTTAAAATAAAAGCTTACCAAGTCAGTTACAACTGATTCACTTTATATTACTACATGTACATAACGGAATACTATACAAATAACAAAGTTGTTGCACTGAAATTTAATGCATTAGTAATTAATATTAATATAGTTAACAGACCTTTTTTTTTTAACTAACTATGGTGTTAGTGACTTTTCTGGATTTACTAAATGTGCTTTCAACATAAATGATTTATTCTTTGACAATTGAAAATCTTTCAGGGCCTTAGTATCAGTAAGGACTTAAGATATAGTTGGAAATTGTTTCCTTCCAATCACAAGATAGGCAGGTTTGTCATATTTGTAGATGGCATCTGAAAATAGGAGAGATATCTAATATATTGGATGATTGTCATTATTTTTAGAGAAAGATAAGGAGGGAAAGATATAATGAGAATTGACATAAATGATCTAGAAGGGAAATCCTAAGTTCAATGACACCAATACAAGCCCAGTATAAATTGTGACCTACTAAGTTCATGGACTATGGAAGGAATCACTAGGTCATTCAGTTGTGTCCAACTCTTTGTGACTCTGTGGACCATAGCACACCAGGCCCTTCTATGTTCAACTATCTCTCAAATTCTGTCCAAGTTCATGTTCATTGTTTCCATGATACTATCTGTCTCATCTTTTCTGTCCCCTTTTCCTTTTGCCTTCAATCTTTCCCAACATCAGGATCCTTTCCAATGAGTTCCATTTTCTCATTATGTAGCCAAAATATTTAAGCTTCAGCTTCAGTATTTGGCCTTCTAGTGACTAATCTAGATCCTTAAGTTTGGCCTTTTAACTGAATCCAAATTTTACAGAACAAATCCTTTTATTAAAAAGATTAAGGATCTGGAAAGCCACATGTAGCCTCAAGGGCACAGGTTCCCCACCCCTGGACTAGTCTGAATTAATTTCTTTGAGTATTGACTGATTTGACCTCCTTGTTGTCCGAGGGATTCTCAAGATCCTTCTCTAGTATCACAGTTAAAAAGTGCTAATTCTGAGGTGCTCAGCTTTCCTTATAGTCAAATGCTCACAGCTATACATTGCTACTAGAAAAACCATAGCTTTGAATGTACTGACCTTTTTCAGCAAGGTGATGTCTCTACTTTTTAGTATGCTGTCCAGATTTGCCATACTTTTCTTTCCAAGGAGCAAATATCTTTTGATTTCATGGCTGCAGTCACTATCTCCAGTGATCTTTGAGCCCAAAAATAGAAAGTCTGACACTGCTTCCATTTTTTCTTCCTCTCTTTGCCAGGAAGTGATGGGACTGGTTCCCAAGATCTTAGTTTTTTTTGATGTTAAGCTTCAAGCCAGCTTTTATATTCTCCTATTTCACCCTCATCAAGAGATTTTTTGATTCCTTTTCACTTTCTGCCATCAGATACTAGCTCAGTTAAATATGCAAATCTGTCTAAAAATCCTACTATATAATGAAAACAGAATTATTGAAGTAATACTTTTCTTTCCAGTTGTGGTCCTTGAACTACCTATGTGACCTTAGGCAGGTCACTTCAAGGTTTTGAAGGGCTATCATGTGAAAGAAAGGTTGTACTTGATTTGCTTGAACTAGAAGGTAGAACTAGGAGGAATGGTATTAGATGCCTTAATGCTCAGGTACCTTGGACTAATTGATACCAAGTTACCTTCTAGTTGTTTGAAATAGACCAAAAGTGGCAGATAAGGCTTAAAGATGCAAATTTCCTGAGGTTATTTCTCTTTCCTACTAGTTTGGGCAGGAGAACAAAGTCATACTCATATTTGTCTCCTTCGCATTTGAGCACTTATCAACAATGTTGTAGAGTTGATTCTTTCTCATGTACGGATTTGATTAGGTGGCCTCTGAGATCCCTTCTAACTCCATGAGTTGTGATTATGAAAGATAATGGGAGAGATTTTTATTATCACAGTATTCAGAGCAGTAAGGTACTTCAGTGTTGATTTAGTCAATGAATCAACAAGCATTTAGTCAGCACCTACTATGTGCCAGGTTCCGCAGCAAGTGCTCCTACACAAAGACAGGTGAAACACAATCTTAAGGAGTTCAGTCTAATAGGGAGACAACAAGAAAAAAACTATGTACAAACAAGGTGCACACAGGATGAATTGGAGATATCCCGTAGAAGTAAGAGAATATCCAAGAGAAGAGGGTGATTCATAGAGTCAAAGGCTACATTCTCTCATCTAAAAATGAAGAAACTGAGGTCTAAAGAAATGAAGTTATTTGCCCCAAATCACACAGGTAGTAAGTGGTTGAATCTATAAATATCCCGAGACAAAATTTTTTTTTAAACTAAGTGGCATCAGGTTATTTTTTATTAATATTTCCCTCTTTTCCCTAAGAGTGAGTTGGTAAGAAATATTTCTATTATTTTCATTTAATCAATTGATTTTTTGACATTCTATTATAGCCTAATAAAATATCACTGGAAAAAAAAGTTAGATTAAGGTAACTGAATGTTAATAATATGAAGAAGAGAAGTTTTTGAGTGCTTCCACATTGTGGTGGTATGGACCTAATAACTAAACAGCTCTCTCTGGAGTGAAATTTCCAGGGACATTTGCTCCAGGCACAGATTATGCCTTAATTAATTGGTGGATGACAATAGTGATGGACCTGGAAAGAAGCCTAAAACAGCCATAATCTAAAATCTGGAAGATTCTTCTTTTTGATTTCATCACCACTTGTATATTTCCAATTTACAATATATTCTGCCAGCTTTGATTAAAAATCCAACAGGTTGGGGAGTTGTGGACAGGAACTCCTGATTTTTTTCATGCAGCACTTTGGAGGAACTGTTTCCAATTGCTATTTGACAGCATCGGTGGCTGCAGCAGCTCTAATCCTTTTCAGTTCGGATGACTTCAGCTGGCTTGCATATGCAGCCTGTTTTCCATAGCGGTGGCAAAACTGGCTGTGAAATCAGCTTATTCTTCCAAAGCTGTAAAGCCTCCTTTTAAAAGAATGCTATCTGTAAGGCAGAATTATAGTACAAAAAGGGGAAATCTTTTAGAGGATAAGCTGGCCTATTGTTTCTACAAATGCACTTAATAGCTTTTCAGCATGCAAATACTATGGTAGCTAGACCATTGCATAATTTAAAACTGGAATCCAAATAATTCTTTGGCTACCTAGTACAAAAATGTCCTTTTATTCCTTGAAGTGGAGGATGAAAGAATATTTGCCAGGAAGCTTCTTGAGGACAGAAATTATGTCATATATCATAGTGTCTAGCCTAGTACCCTGTTGGAAATAGGTTCCCAATAAATATTTGTTGGACTAGTGAATGAATAAATAATTTAAAGAAAAATGCCATACAATTTTGGATACAAAACTGTCACAGTTTGTTTCTAATTTGAGAATTTTAATAGGGATAAATACATTATTTCCATAGCTTTCACTTTCTCAAAATGGTAAACTATAAATAATAGATTACATTTCTCAAAATAGCATTTTATATTCTAATTTTATATTTTGCTTTTTTGTATGCTAAGATTCTGTTGTACATACAATTTAATGGGGACCTTAATTCATTCATCTTGGTTCTTGTTCTTTGAATAAAGATTTTTACTTTAGTTTTAAGCTGTTTCAGGCAATTG